ATATTCCTTCAGACAGTATATATGTGTTTATATTAAAAGGTCCAAATTAATCTTATTACCAAACTTTAATAGGTATATTCAACAACTGCCATAATAACATCACATATTTTTTCTGGATAGTATTTGTAACTGTACTGCTCTATATATACAACTCTGGTATACATTTACTTTTGAGAAAGGCAAAGCAGTAAAAAAGACGGACCAAAATCCAGTTCGCTTGTAAAAATACAAATTGAGTTTAAGGCAGTGCAAGTCACCATAAAACAGTGTCACTGATATAATACTGTAATGCTCACTCACATATAAGGCCACAATTGGTGGTGCCTTTCTACTCCTCTATTTTGGATCATGCAGTACAGCTTACCTCAACTTTTTTTTATTTTTTTTTTTTTTTTTTTTTTTTTTTTTATAACTGTAAATAGATTGGATGTAAAAAGTCAATCTCAGGCATTATCAGTTTTTGACTGTGAATTTGTGGTAATATTTAGCCTAAAATGTTTAACTTGCTAAAGATGCAAAATGGCATATTGTTCTACAGAGAATTTTTTAATTACCCACCCAAAGCACTGAATTCAATTGTTTCAAAAACTTCCATGGCAACACATGTTTAAAATCAAGCACCTAGGCATGCAGTCTTCTTCTCCAATCATTTATTGCAGAACGGGTCTCTCTCAGGAGCTCAGTGAATTCCAGCATGGCAGCATTATAGAATACCACCTGTGCAACAAGTCCAGTAGTGAAAATTCCTTGTTACTAAATATTCTACATTCAACTGTTAGTGGTGTTATAATGAAGTGTAAGTGATTAGGAACCACAGCAACTCAGGCGTGTATTGGTAAGCCACATAAATTGATAAAGCAGGGTCTCACATAGTTCACAGAGGTCACCAACTTTCTGGAGTCTTCATGGAATGGCTTTCCATGGCTACGCAGTTGCACTAAAGCCTTACATAACCAGGCACAATGCAATGCATAAGATGCAGAAAAGCACACTGACACTGTGGCAGTATTCATGTTTTCTGGATAAGAGATGAATCGCGCCGGTGTGAAGTTATTTTTCACGAAATGGCCTCGGCCCCTTAGTTCCGGTGAAATGTTTCAACACACCAAGACATTTTGGACAGTTTCATGCTCCTAGCATTGTGGGAACAGTTTAGGGACAGCCCCTTCCTGGTCTAACATGATGGAGTGCGGGTCCACAAATTGGATGGGGGAATTTGGAGTGCAAGAACTTGACTGGCCTGCCAGAGTCCTGACCAAAACCTGATTAAACACCTTTGGAGTGAATTAGACTGTGAACCAGGCCTTCTCATCCAACATCATTGTCTGACCTTACAAATATATTTCTGGAAGAATGGTTTTCTTTTAAAGGTTAACTTAACTCTGCCATCACTAATGCTGAACACAAGAAGGGAGAACACAAAGGGAAAAGTGCTGTCCTCATTTCACAGGACGATGTCCTGTAGGTATGAATCACGATTATTCTGAAGAAACTATCGTGTTAAAAATTGTATATGTGAATGTGACTGTTTTTAGAATAAAGAATAAATTAAACGCTTTACATTTCATGAAATCATAATGAAAGTGTTTATTGAATTAATACATCATACGTGGACAATTTAACAGTTAGTTCATATTTTATGAACACTGCCAAAAAGTTCCAAAAGAATGTGTCTTATTCAGCCTTTTCACCCTGAAAAAAATAATGAAAGGTAAAATTATTCAACACATATTATCAACATTGAAACAATTCATTCTACATTGTAAATATAGTATCTACACTCTCTTCAATTCACAGAAAATTATTAACATAAAGCTCTTATATCAAACAACTCCATTAAACAACGGTACATTTTTTGTAAAACAAATTACATGAATTACCTTTCCAGCATCACGGCTCTTGGCTCTCAGTTTGTTGACCTGAGATTCAGCAATGTCAGCACGTTCCTGAGCTTCCTCCATCTCATGTTGGACCTTTCTCAGTCTGGACATGTGGGTGTTGGCCTGTTCCTCCTGTTCAGTGCAACAATATGTTTTATTTAAAAACATATCTGATCATATATGAGAGATATCTCAGTTATGAAGCTGTGAATTCCATATGTAAAAATCACAAAACATTGTACTTACAGCCTCCTCAGCCTGTCTCTTGTAAGCCTTGACTTTGAGCTGCAGTTTGTCCACCAGATCCTGAAGTCTGACCAAATTCTTCTTGTCCTCCTCAGTCTGCATAAACAACAAACTGTTACTGACGGCTGAAGAAGAAACAATTTAGGAACTTAAATGTAATAGATATTTAGGTAAATGTGTAATCACCTGGTAGGTGAGCTCCTTCACTCTCCTCTCATATTTGCGGACTCCTTTAACAGCATCAGCTCCACGTCTCTGCTCAGCTTCAACTTCAGTTTCTAGTTCACGGACCTTTAATGCCATGATAAGTAATCAGCTTTTAATAAATATTAAGAGTAGAAAGAAAATGGGTGGAGATCATGTGATGGTATCAAAGTGTTTATTTAATACTTGAATAATAACTATATATGCATATATATATATGCAGTACATACCCTGGACTCCAGTTTCTGGAGCTGCTTCTTGCCACCCTTCATGGCGAGGTTCTCTGCCTCATCCAGACGGTGCTGCAGGTCCTTGACTGTGACCTCCAGGTTCTTCTTCATCCTCTCCAGGTGAGCACTGGTGTCCTGCTCCTTCTTCAGCTCCTCAGCCATCATGGCAGCCTGAAAGTATGGGTGGTGTTAGCATTATTGATCAAGCATGAACAAAAATTTTGAAAAGTAAAGAAGGCTTGTAAAGTACTAACTTACATCAGTGATAGCCTTTTTGGCCTTCTCCTCAGCATTTCTTGCTTCCTGAACTGCATCATCCACCTCACCCTGAACCTGGACAAGGTCAGCCTCCAGCTTCTTCTTGGTGTTCAAAAGACTGGTGTTCTGAATGAAAAAGAAACCGTTTTAATGATGTGATTCTCACTCTCTGATGTGTCAAAGTTCTTGTAAAGTAATGAATACCAACCTGAGAGTGAAGCAGTCCAACACGCTCACTAGCATCAACCAACTCCTGCTCAGCTACTTTGCGTCCTCTCTCTGTCTGCTCCAGAGCGGCTCTCAGCTCCTCAATCTCAGCCAGCATCAGACCATTTCTGCGCTCCACCATGGCGACCTGCTCCTTCATGTCTTCCTGTCCTCTGACTGCGTCATCCAGGTGCAGCTGAGCATCCTGATGACAAACAAACAAAAGATATTATCATTGTTTGCTTGGAGGTTAATTAAAAATTCACACACACACAAATGATCTACCAACTCACCTTGAGCTGTCCTTGGACATTCCTCAGTTGTTTCTGGGCCTCAGCAGCCTGTCTGTTGGCATGGCTCAGCTGAATCTCCATCTCATTCAGGTCTCCCTCCATCTTCTTCTTGACTCTCAGGGCATCATTCCTGCTCCTGACCTCAGCATCCAGAGTGCTCTGCATGGAGTCAATCACCCTCTGGCTGTTCCTCTTGATCTGCTCCATCTCCTCGTCCTTCTCTGACAGCTTCCTGTCAATCTCACCTTTCACCTGGTTTAGCTCAAGCTGAACACGAAGGATCTTGGCCTCCTCGTGCTCCAGAGTTCCCTTTAAATAAAGGTTTATTTCAACATAAACTGGAGAAGGGATAGTTTTATAAATGTAATTACAAACAAAGTACATTTTTATAAAATACATTACCTCAGCTTCCTCCAGAGCTGTCTGAATTTCAGACTTCTCAGTCTCAACAGTCTTCTTGGCCTTTTCCAGCTCATGGATGCTCTTTCCAGTCTCACCAATCTGCTCAGTCAGATCTGAGATCTCCTCTACAGAGCAAACACAGCCAAGAGTTTTAGTACTTGGAGCTGATATATGCAAATGTTTTGGCCACAACAAAAGCTGTAAATGAATATAAACATTAGAATCATATCCATATGATCTATAGCAAGATAAGCATACGCTGCAGGTTCTTGTTCTCTCTCTTCATGGTCTCAAGATGATCCAGAGCCTCTTCATATGAGTTCTTCATCTTGAACAACTCAGTGCTGAGAGAACGAGCCTCCTTTTGGGCTCCTTCCAGCTCTGCCTGGCTCTCCTCATACTTCTGCTTCCATTCTGCCAGGACCTAGATTCATTAAAAATTAATTAATTAAATAATTAGTTGTTGTAATGGGTGTAATTTCTCCTTTGATGACAGAGGTTATGTTTAAACTTTACTTTATCAAAGTTCCTCTGCTTCTTGTCAAGGTTGGCAGCCAGAGCATTAGCTCTCTCCACATCAATCATGAGGTCCTCCACCTCACCCTGCAGCCTCTGCTTGGTCTTCTCCAGTGAGGCACACTTGGAGTTCACAGCCTCAATGGATTCCTCAGCCTCCTGCAGGCGCTGGGCAAGCTTTTTCCTGTTGTTAAAAGAATTTTGTTTTTATTAAGGCTGAATTGGTTGGTTTTAAGTCTGAAAACTAATTTAAACAATGAAAGTATGGTGACTTACTTGGCCTCCTCCAGCTCCTCAGTTCGCTGGATGGCATCAGTCTCATATTTGGATCGCCACTGAGCCACCTCACTGTTGGCCTTGGACATTCCTCGCTGCAGCTCAGCCTTGGCCTCCTGCTCCTCCTCAAACTGCTCTCTGAGCAGATCACAGTCATGACGTGCTGACTGAACAGCATGAGCCAGAGCGTTCTTGGCCTGTTGAAGTGACAGTTGATTTCAGATTTCGATATTTTATTGTTGAAATCAATTTTAAAGTCTAATGCTGAGAGGATAACAAATTTAAGAGGTAAAACCTTAGAAAGAAATTAGAGGATTATCTGTCTCAGAGTTACTGAGTGTCTCTGTAACTGATTAAAACTTGTCTCTGTTTTTATTAGTAAGTGCTGAAATTTAACAGAAGAGAGAAAATATTCCAGACCTTAACCTCCTCCTCAACGTGTCTCTTGAGTTCCTCAATCTGCTGAGTGAAGGCCTGCTTGCCCCTTGTGAGCTGAGAAACAAGAGCTTCTTTCTCCTCAAGCTGGCGACTGAACTCACCTGTAGTTAACACACACGTATTGAGCCTAGTTTCTTTCATTTCACCCACTGATTGGTTGTAGTTTTAGGTACATGTAAATGACAAATTTCCAGAGACAGAATGTTTCTTTGTTATACATCACTTACCATTCTCTGTTTGAAGTCTCGCCTTCTGGGCATTAATGTCATTCAGCTGACGAACATTCTCATCATTTTTGGCTTTGAGTTCACTTAGTTGATCCTCAAGAGTCCTGCACATTTTCTCCAAGTTGCCCTGTCACCAAGTAATGCCATATCCATGTTAACAGTTAATGAGCTGCTTTGGCGGTCCTGAAATGTAAAAAAGAAAAAATCTGTTCTCTATAAATACTGTCCGCACCTTTGCTTTAGCAACAGCCTCCATGTTGCTGGAGAGGTCATCAATCTCCATCTTGTACTCGCTCTTCTCTTTCTCCAGCTTCTGTTTGACACGCTGGAGGTTGTCGATCTGCTCTCCGAGCTCTGCAACAGTGTCAGCCTGCTTCTTACGGAGAGCTGCTGCAGTAGCTTCGTGCTGCAGAGTTGATTCCTCAAGATCACGACGCAGTTTCTGGAACTCAGCCTCTCGCTTCTTGTTCATCTCAATCTGAGCAGCTGTTGCTCCACCAGCTTCCTCGAGCCTCTCACTGATCTCTTCAAGCTCCCTGGAGAGGTCTGCTCTCTGCTTCTCTACCTTAGCCCGAGCTGCCCTCTCAGCCTCAATCTCCTCTTCCAGCTCCTCAATACGAGCCTAGTGCAATGATAATATGAAAAGGACATTACCCATTGAACATGCTTTAGATTCAGTGAATATATTATTGAGTTATAACAGTGTTACCTGCAGTTCTTTGATCTTCTTCTGGAGTTGAGCACCAAGGGTTTGTTCATCCTCAATTTTGCTGAGAAGCTGGCTGATTTCAAAGTCCTTCCTGTAACAGGACAAGAAGAACAAATTCAGTATTATAGATTTGAACATGTGAAGCAAGCTTTGAAGTAAAGAAAGCTTACCATTTCGCTGCTACTCACAAAAACATAGTTAAGAAATGAAGTCATTGAGTGATGACATTATTGTTCGGCATTAGAGATTTGTGGACAAAGTAGGGCATAAACATGTCAGATCTTACAGCACTACATTTAGCTGCAGGTGACTTTTTGTAGTCTACATTTATGGAGTGGACGATCTAACAAACAAACTTTGCTAGTAATAACGGAAAAAAGCCCTACTTCTTGATTTTCTCATCAGACTGCTGCTTGTCATTCTCCAGATCCATTATGGATTCCTGGGCCAGTTTCAGATCTCCCTCCAGCTTCCTCTTGGCTCTCTCAAGGTCCATGCGGAGCTTCTTCTCTTGCTCCAGTGAACCCTCAAGCTATAAAGTCATGTCAGTTGATTCAAGTGGTTGGAAAGACAATGATTCAGCACTAAAATTCTTTCCATAAAAAACAAAAAACAAACACATCATTATTATAGTTTTCTTACATCATCAACTTGCTGTTCCAGCTTTGTCTTGGACTTGGTCAGAGTGTTGACTTTGTCTTCCTCTGCCTGGAGATCATCCAGTGTTTGCTGATGGGCCTCTTGTAAGGCTTTCTTCTCCTTAGTTAACTTGGCAATAGCCTCATCCTGAGATGCCATCTCCTCTGTCAGGTTTTTCACCTAAGAATTGTACAAAGGATGTATTTAAATATAACTTAAAAACTATATCTCAGGAAAGAATTAATATATTTTAATTTAGAGGTGTCTTTTAAAAAAAACAACAACTCAGATATAGATAAACTGAACCTTGTTTTCTGTGGCATGTTTCTCCTTCTCCACTTTGGCCAAGGTGAGCTCCAAGTCATCAATGTCCTTCTTCAGCTCAGAGCATTCATCCTCCAGCTTCCTCTTCTTAGCAGTCAGCTCAGCATTGATTTCCTCTTCATCCTCCAGTCTCTCACTTGTCTCTTTGAGTTTGGCCTCGAGCTGGATCTTGCTCTTAATGAGCCCCTCACACCTTTCTTCAGCATCAGAGAGATTGTCAACTTCCTATAATACATGTTGAACACACAAGTTAGATTATTTGTGAGTCACATTGTCCTAGTGTTTTCTTGATCGTACTTTTAGCTACACTTTTGTTTTAGCACATAAATAATCAGAGGATAAAATAAGCATGTGGCCTTTTCATATCTAAATTTAATATACATGAACTACAGGTGTAATATAAAATTTTCTCTACTACTTACTGCAGCCACTTGAAGTTGCAGGTCATTCTTCTCCTGCAGCAGGCCGACCATCTTCTCTTCCAGTTCCTTCTTCTTGGCCAGAGCAGTAGCCAGGTCTGTCTTCATCTTCTCATAGTTCTCCTTCATGTTCTGCAACTCCTTCTCAGTCTCAGCACTCTTCAGAAGAGGCTTGATCTTGAAGTATACTTTCAGCCATGGCCAGTTCTTGACATTCATGAAAGAACGGATGTTGTACTGGATGGTGTAGATAGATTCTCTAAAAACCAAACATGAGAGTGTTACTTTTAGTGTCGTAGGATCTTAATATGAGGAAGGAAATAAAAAAGAGAATACAATAGAGTTTAGTATGATAATGTTACCTCCTCTCCATCATCTTCACAAACTCTTTCCTCATGACGTATCCTCTGCAGAGAGCCTGAGTCATGGTCACCAGCTCAGCCAGTTTCTCATCTCTCATCTCCTCAAGAGTGCCCAGCAGACCAGCTTTGAAGAACACCTATTTAATCATTGAAAACATAAGTACAAGTGCAAATGGACAGTGTTTTTTATACCCATTAATATAACAAAGTGTACCTTTGTGTGCCCAAACATGTACTGTGTGTGATCCACATCAATGGAGCCAAGCAGCTTCTCTGAAGCTTTCTTGTTGTCAATGAACTGTCCCTCAGGGATGACGCTGGCATTCAACACTTTGTATCTTTAAGAGAATCATTTTTTTTTTTTTTTTTTTTTTTTTTTTTTAATGACATCAGAAACAGCAGTATGCGACATTACGTGATGGCAGAGCTTCAGTTCATCCTTTGTCTTTTTTTTTTTTTTTTTTTTTTTTTTTAAGAAATAGGACAGGGGGAATGAATGAGAGAAAGAGGGGGAGAGAAAGAAAGAAAACCAAAGGGGAGAAGAGACGGTGAGAAGGGGGGGAAAAAAAAAAAAAAAAAAAAAAACAACAACTCCTGGGTCACCTGTATGGAGAAAAAAAACAAAACAAAAACAAACAAACAACAAAAAAAACAAACAGAGGAGACAGCAAACAACAAAGAGCAACATAATAATAGAGAAAACAAAGCACCATCACAATAAACTAGCTAGTCATAGATATCAATAGTTACTGAATAATAAACGATATTGTGCAGCACGCAAGATAGACAGCGCACAGTGTGCTTTGAGGCAGCAGCCAAGAAAGCTTTAGTCCGCGTCTGTGAATACCCATGTGTACACCTGTGTGCATACCTGTGTGGATCAGCATGCTTGCATTCCAAAGGTTTCTCCATGTAATGATCTGCTAGGGAGTGTGGGGGGGCCACAGCCCCGTCCTCCAGGGTGTGAAGCGGGTATGGAGGAGATCAAAACTCCAGACATCCAGAGGCCCCCAGAACACAAGAGACCACGGAAGACCAACAGAGGGGCAGCCGCGCCACTGTTCCAGTAAGAGCTGAGGAGAGTCCCAGATGAGGGCTCGCCCAGCAGCCGCGGAGCAGAAGCCAGGGGGAGTTGCAGTGACGCGCCCGTGAGCTCCGCCGGCCCCCAGCTGTGCCTGAGTGACCGAGCCCCAGGCCGAGAGGCCGGGGGCACCCCACCTCCAAAGGGGGCCCGAGCGAGCCCCAGGCCCCAGGCCCCGACAAGCGGCCGCCAAGGAGTGAGCCGGTGTGTACCCGGACGCCCACCCCCAGACACAAAGAACCACCAGCACACCGACACCTGAGGGAGTCCGCCACCGGCAGGGGAAGTGGTGGTGGGTAGAGATAGGCCTCCAAACCTTGGAGGGCCTGAGGTGTCCCCAGAGAGGTGGCGTCTGATACCCAACCTGACATATAGACACAGACATACAGGCACACACAGACACAAACATCCATTCCCACCCTCATGCTCTCATGTGCACTCACTCCACACTCAACCAACGTGGAGATAGACATAAAGAGACGCTGTACACACGATCACACTCCCCAAGCGTACTCTACAAACCGGGTCTAGGTACCCTTGCCCCTGGAGGGGGGAATTGCACCCAGACCCAGGTGGTGTTACCCTTTTCCCTGCGGTGGGGAGAGGCAGACCACCCCGACTCCGCAGCAGCAGGGAGGCCCCACACCCCAGACCGCAGCCGGACGGCCAACTCCTCCTACTAGCCCTCCCGCTCCAGCAGGCCGCAGAGAATGGGGGTGGGAGAAGACTCCAAACCTCCCTCCACCCGCTCATTGTAGTGTTGATGCATATGTGATCTAAGGTGCAATTAAAACCCAGGAGGGCATGGAGCTACCTGCCAAGGAGCAGCAGGTAAGCGCATAGTCCCTCCTGCTAGCCCTCAATGACTAAGTGTATTTAAAATTGAGAGGTGGGCAAGGACGTCAGGGGTGAGGTATACACCCTGATGGTAATTTGGACTCCGTGATTGTGCCCACCCCCAAGATCCTATATGTATGTGTTACTTAGATTTCTCTTCCATCATATTCAAGTTTGTCCTTTACAACAACCATGAAACCATTTTTCCTTTCCAATATTGTAATGTGCTGTCACCTCTGCTTGAAGTCACCATAGAGGATTCTGCTGGGGAAACCCTTCCTGCAGATTCTGATGCCCTCCAGTACACCGTTACACCTCAGCTGGTGGATGACCAGGAAGTTCTCCATAAGGCCTGAGAGTCAGAAATGCATAACGTTTCAAAACTTTCTTCGTTTCACTTTGTCATTTTTACAGTTAATATTACTGTGGGGTACCTGGGGTCTTTGTCTCATTGGGAATCAGGCAACGGACAAAGTGAGGATGAGTGCTTCTTAAGTTGGTCATCAGCTTGGCCAGATTCTCCTGTAGATCAGCATCATTAGATAATAGGTTAATACTATTTAAAAATTAGTAAAAAATTATTTTTCCTGCAACACAAATCTATACATACTCTGAAAAGAGCAGACACAGTCTGAATTGAGGATTTTTTCTTAAGTTGGTCATCAGCTTGGCCAGATTCTCCTTAGATCAACATCATTAGATAATAGGTTAATAATATTTAAATATGAGTAAAAAATTATTAAATCTATACATACTCTGAAAAGAGCAGACACAGTCTGAAAGGAACCACCCTTCTTCTTACCACCTTTTTTGCCACCCCCAGCAGCCTCTGTTTTCATAAATAGTAAATTTCATTATTGGAATTTAATGAATATTTTTCACAGTATACGTATTAGCCTGCAGTAGGGGAGACCGGGGATAGTTGTAACATTTTTGACATTTCTGTCTGTAAATTGGAGCTCTTTTAAGGTAGTGGATTCAAAATGTAATGCAAAGTATTTACATGTCTCTGCTATTAAATAGTGCAGCTATTTTCTCTGCAGCACAATTACCCATTGCATGGTATGGCCTCAAACACAAAGAGTGAAATGTTACAATTAACCCCATAGTCTGGGTTAGTTGTAACATATCCTGGGGTGAAATGTAACACAATGAAATAAGGGTACTAACAAAACATTAACATGTAATCTTTGTTTATTCAACACATGAATGCACTTACATCCATTTATGTAGCTGTGTGTGTGTGTGTGACAGAATGCAGAAATCTAGCTTTTGAACATATTCCAACCCCCCAAAAAAGACAAATTATGGAATTTTCTGCAACTGAATATTTCATTAATTTTGGTTGGTCTTCCTTGAGTTTGGCCTCATTGGCTCAGTGGGCATTATAACCTACAACTCTTGCACCAATTTTGAACATAACAATGAAGCTGAAAAAATGTAGTTGTTCACCAGCATCGCAATTCCATTACTTTTTATCCTGGCTTACCTTGGTGTGGTTTGCAAAGTGCTTCAGAAAGATGAGGAAATCTGTTTCTTGCACCCATCCTGATTTATTTCCACTACCAGTACTTCCTACTGGTCCATCTCTGACACAGTGGTCTGCATAATGTATGTGTGGGAACACAAACAGTGGAGGAATTGTGTTGCCAATGGCATTAACCGCATATACAAATGCGACCAGTGAACCTCTCTCTGCTGATGTCGTTGCCCCAACTTGTTTAATATAAGTTAAAGTAATAGTGTGGTAAGTTGTAACATCTGCATTATTGTTACAACTAACCCAGACTGTTGCTGTTACAACTGACCCAGACTCCTATAGCCATGAACTAGCTAACATTACAGCCAACGGCTAAAACATTAGCACTAAAGACCTACACAGAATATATCCCCATAGACATACAAATAACATAATTTAAGTTTGATGAGTTTAACTGCAAAGCAGATAATGCTATTAGAAATTGAAATAAAGTAGAAAAACTTACTTTTTGGCATACAAATTACTTTTTTTCATGTTAAATTGTCTGTGTTTGACAAAATGTGCTGATTTTTCACATGTGATAGCAGAACTGAATTGGGCATGCACAGGATGAGTCACATCATTTGAAACTTAGCCCTGATTGGAGAAATTGGAAGTGTTACAACTGACCCACGTTACAACTATCCCCGGTCTCCCCTATGTACTTATTTATTAACAGAACATATATCTGTAGGACGCGAGCTTGTGAGCACTTTTGTTTCTAACCTTCAGCTCCAGCATGGGCTGCATACAGGAAGCCCAGCAGTTTGTTTGATGACTTCTGGTAGAGCTGAACAACTGAGTCATTCAGTGGGTCCTTGTTCTTGTCCAGCCAGCCAGTGATATTGTAGTCCACTGTACCAGCATAGTGAACCAGGGAGAAGTGTGCCTCAGCCTTGCCCTTTGCAGGCTTTGGCTTCTCAAATGCTTTGGTCTTGCCAAGATGCTGATCGTGCAGCTTGTTCTTGAACGTTGTGTCAGAGGCCTTGGGGAACATGCACTCCTCTTCAAGGATGGAGAAGATGCCCATTGGCTGAGAAAATGGTACATGTCATATTAAAATTTCAACAGAGGTAACATATGCAACCACATGTACATTTCTTCCAGAGCAGCTGTTTACCTTCTCAATAAGCTCAATGCAGGCAGCCAAGTCCATACCAAAGTCAATGAACTCCCAATGAATGCCTTCTTTCTTGTACTCCTCTTGCTCCAGGACAAACATGTGATGGTTGAAAAACTGTTGCAGTTTCTCATTGGTGAAGTTGATGCAGAGTTGCTCCAAGCTGTTGAACTGTAATAGTACAACCATGTCTAACTTCATGGCAATAAAGTCTTTAAAGTTTAAGAAATGTGGTGAAATGTTTCAAGTGCTCACATCAAAGATCTCAAACCCAGCGATATCCAGCACTCCAATGAAGAACTGTCTGGGCTGCTTTGTGTCCAGCATCTCATTGATACGGATAACCATCCACAAGAACATTTTCTCATAGATAGATTTGCACAGAGCCGAGACAGCATTCTC